CAGCCCCACTCCCCCCAAACAGGGATTCGAACCGGCAACCCCGTGCTCTCAAGAAGGGGGGTGCAGAGGTTTTGCGGGGGAGGAAGTTGCTCCTTTAACAAGGACGCAGGCCAGAGGGCGAGTGTCTTGTTTGAAGCCTAGCTCCTGGTTGGGTGCCTCTCGGGGGGGAGCTGTGGGACTCCGGGTGAGTTGGTCCCAGAGAGAACTTGGGGAGGTTTTGACAGAACAACAGTGGCTCTCGGCAGTGTAGGTAACGTGCTCACTGCTGGGTGAAGACACTAGTGAAGAACACAGAGTTACACAAACGCAGAATCTAAGCTGGGCACAGCATTTCACCCTCTCAGACGACTGACATTGGATAGGTGCTACAGAACACATAACTAGGAACGCTACCTCATCTCTTAGCCATAAGATTCTTTCCAGCAGGGCAGAACACGGAGCAGGAACTTCCTTGCTGTTACGTGTTACAGTACATCCTTTTTTAATTTATTTTTTTTAATTTTTAAGTTGTTACCTCTCCGGCTCGGGAGTGGGGACTGTAAGAAGCAGGGGGAGGTGGGCCGGGGGGGCTGTAAGGACTGATGGGTTTGGAATGGAGGCAGTGTGGGGGGGAGGGATCTTGGTGTCCTGGGGAGGAGTCGGCCCTGTAGGAGGCGCTGTGGGGGAGGGGCGAAGCTGAGGAGGGAACACAGGACGGGCAAGTCGATCTCACGAAATGAACTGCGACATTGACTTGCAAAAACTGTAGTTGGGCTTTTGATTAAAATATGCATCTTGCAGTTCATAGTCCTCCTGTGTTGAGCAGATCAAATGGGTTGAGGCAGAGCTCTGGCTATTCGAAACTGAACAGTAGCTTGATGCCTCAACATCGTGTTCAGCTACAATACATTAGTAATGTGTCGTTCATAGAGACAGTAAAACTGCAGTAAAGAAAAACCGTTGAATTGCTGACGTGCAAACTGCATGTTTTAGAACACGTCCAAAAATACATATGATATATCTGTTACTGTATAAGCCCACGAAGTAAGGACCTCAGGAAGTCAGATTCCTGTATCCCTCCCATGCAGAGTCATATTTGGTATTGGAATACAGGATTGCATGTGAAAGACGGGCAGCAGACCGTCTTCAGACCAGTAGTCTCTTGCCCCACAGCGATTCGCTGGCGTTTTCAGCATCCCTGCCTCCTAAATCCTGCCCCCCCACCCCCCACCCCCCCATCCTGTTTGCTCTGTCCCTGCTCCTCAAATCAAGGGGCATGATATCCGTAACCATGGGATTTTTTTTTTGTTGTTGTTGTTGATCTACCTCTTAGGATAAATAGCAAAAAAAAACCACAAAAACGAAAAATAAAAAAAATAAAATTTACAAAAACAACTAATAAAAACTGGGTAGTGGTATTTCCATATACTGTAGTTTATAGTCTAAAAAATACTTCTTCCAAAGATGATTTTTTCTTCATTGATAGTAATTGTTTTCAAAGATTTTTAAAAAGAGAATAAAATTAGAAAACCTTTTTAAAGAGAACTGTTTCATTTCCTTTTTTTTAAATTACTCAGTTCCTCATTAGACTCTTTTTAAGTTTAACCTCAGATCCTTGTTTTGATGGTTTTCGAATTGCTTTTAACATTGTGACATGAGATTGTAATTCTTGTGTTTGGATGCATTTGATTCTTTCTCTGTGAACTGCGAGACTAATATTCTGCAGATTGTTTTCAAAGCAGCATGATGTTCTTACCTGAAAATTTAATTTAAAAAGATCCACTGAAAGATTGATAGTGAGGAGGTGAGAACGCAGTGGTGTGTTTTCCTCCCTCCTCTCATGCCATCTCTGGACTTATACCCCTTTGTTTTAGTTTATCAACACTTTTTAACTCCTTGTAAACAAACAGCATAGAAATGAATGTGTTATTAAAAGAAGAGAAAACGGAAGTCTGCGTCCCGGTGTGTTTTCCTTGACATCTGCTGATGAAACGCACACAGGCGCGCACTGGCTGCGCGGCGGTAACTCAACAACACCACTACACAACACGACACACCTGATCCCTGCGGCCTGCAGGCTGGCTGACCATCCATCCTTGACAGCAGGCCAAGGCTGGGCCACTGCAGGTCCAGAACACATTGCCGTCTTGCTCATTCTGGCCCAAAACAGGCGCCTGAGCAGCATGGAAGCACTGGGTTCATTAGGCTGATATGGTCATGGGAGGGGTGGCACAGCGCTCTGGGTCCCCGGGTTCAATTCCGGACTTTGCCTGCTGTCTGCGTGGAGTTTGTATGTTCTCCCCGTGGAAACGGATTTCCCCTGGTTCTTCTGCTTTCCGCCTGCAGTCCAAAGATACGCTTCTGGGAAAACTAACCCTGTGTGTGCCTATGGAATGTTACTGGACCCTAGATGAGTCAGTAGGCCTGGCTCAGTTTCTGTATTCAATTGTAACAGTGAGTGGCATTTTATAGTATAGATCTTGGAATCTTAACAAGGCTTGAACATCATAATATGGACTTAGTTTGCTACACCGTGGTTGTGTAACTATTATAAGGAAAGAGGAAACCGGACTCCGTTTTAAGTGCTACTTTAAGATAAAGGTCTCGGTACTGTATTTAGAATAAACAGCACACAAATGTTAAAAACCTCAAAATGTAACTGCGGTACAGATTATCTGTATATAGTGGAGGTACTCTTTGTTTATAGTTAATGTACTTTGCAAGGTGAAAAGCAAAAACCAAACTCACACTGCAGAATCTCAGGGGAACGACATCACCCCTAACGCCCCCTCATCATCTTCTCTGACAGAGACATGGTGGGCCAGAGGCCAGTATTCTATCAGACACTCAAGACACTTCCCCACATGTGGAACACATTGCACTCTCCCACTGAACACCGTTCTGTGACTCCCAGTCCTTCCAAACAATGTTCTTGAGTAAAACTAAGTCATTTTTTCTCGGTCACTTTCAAAATGGGAACATGGGACAGGGGTGAAAGTGTATTGTGTGTTTTCGCGTTTGGGTCGCGCATATTGTAGTTTGCCACAGTGTTTACTACGAATTCCTTAGACTTATACAGCACTTTCCTGGACACTCCACTCAAAGCGCTTTACAGGTAATGGGGATCCCCTCCACCACCACCACCACCAGTGTGCAGCCCCACCTGGATGATGCGCCAGTACTCTCCCCACACAGGGGAGGAGAGCAGAGTGATGAAGCCCATTCAGAGATGGGGATTTTTAGGAGGCCATGATTGGTAAGTGCCAATGGGAAATTTGGCCAGGACGCTGGGGTTACACCCCTACTCTTTTTGAGAAACGCCCTGGGATTTTTAATGACCACAGAGAGTCAGGACCTCAGTTTTTCCGTCTCATCCAAAGGATGGTGCCTTTTTATAGTATAGTGACCCCGTCACTATACTGGGGCACTAGGACCCACACATACTGCGGGGTGAGCACCCCCTGCTGGCCCCACTAACACCTCTCCCATCCATCTACTGGCCAGTCTCACACCTGCTGAGCTCCAGTGGGCTGCCAGCTGATAGTTGCAGGGTGACATGGCTGCTGGTGGTTTAATGTTTTACCATTGTTTCCTAGACTTTTCAGGACGTTTTCCAGCTGGTTTCACACCTTTTTAATTGTTTTTAACTTTGTGAGTGCTTCAAGGAAAATACATTTCCAATCAAACAGATAAAGAATCAAACATAATTGGAACATGAGTTCTGTGCCCACACTCAAACTCCCTCATACCCTCTCTTTCAAACAGAAATTTTGCACCCAAAGTCGGTATCTGCTTATAAAGATGTGGCTGTACACTCAAAATGGCGCATCGAGCGCTCCAAGCAGGTTTCTGACGTCATCACCAGCTCGGTTTGACGACGCTGATTGGCTGAAATGTATCCAATCCCGGGGCGAGCTCGCGCTGACGCCACCAGGCCGGCGGTTTTTGAAAAGGTAAAATGGCGGCGGAGCAGGCGAAACAGTAAGTTTATCATTTCTAATAATTATTACAAATGTTGCAAGAGATATGGAGGATTACAATTCGGGTCTGATTAGAATGTCGTGAATTGTTTCGGTCACTTAAGTTTAATGGCGTAAAAATAGAGGTTTTAGACCAAGCTACGATGACGAGAAGCATACTTTTATTTTAAGCCTCTGAACGCGCTTAGGTACGCCCCTACGCCGTTGTTGAAAACCCGGGCTTTCGCTTAATGTTGCAAACACTGGAGCCGAGGTACAACAAACCGACTCGGCGTCACTTTAGTGAAACAGCACTACCAACGCTCTGCAACGACACCAAACCTCAAGTTTAGAATCATTGAAGAAAGCACATAGGGTGTCAGTAACCCGTGATGCCTGGACGCCCATTGCAACGGAATCCTATATCACTGTTAGCCTATATCACCGATGGATGGCAGCTCGTGTCCCGCGTACTCCAGGCTACAGCAATGTGTGAGAGCCGTATGGGTGCGAATGTTGCAGAGGAATGGCCGTTCAGGGCGAAAGATTTCGTTGTGGCGACTGACAGCGCCTCTAACTTTGCTGTTGCTGCACAGCTGGCTAAAGTCCTACACGTGAGATGTTGTGCTCACGGACTGAATTTGGCCTCTCAGCGAGCGCCACCCCCCCCCTCCCAAATCATGATGTATTCAAAAAAAATCGAGAAGCGATTTATGATCGCATCGTGGCACCCTGAATCGAAATCGAATCGTGAAGTGCCAGAGACCCCCACCCCTACTGCACTGCATAACCTAAACACACTGCAAAACACATCGCGGCTACGCACACATGGCGGAGTGCACAGGCCATTATCTGTCCACGCATCCTTAAATTGCCTTCCTTAGGGATAAATAAAGTATTTTGAATTGAATCTCGTCTTAGTGAGCGTCGCTGAGCAGTAATGAGACTCCTTACTGTACGTCAAGCGTTCGCAAATCTCACACCAGTCGCCTCTTCTGTAAAATACAGGTCGGAAGACAGTCTGACACAACAATACGTATTTACACTTATTGTTGTGGTAGGCATGGTGGACTGTGTAAATAATAGGGCAAAACAGTGTAAGCACCTTCTCCAGCCTGTCTTTGCACATCGCTGGCACTAAGAAACACCAGCGCTCATCACAGTATATCACAGCGGTGTCTGAGCAGGTCGCCAGACACCTGTACTGTATGGACGACAGAAGCCAGTGTAACAGAGCTCAGCACTGGCCCATTCCAGAACTGTGCCACTGTCTGGGGGGGGCGCTGTGTCCACTCTGAGTCCCAGAGGGACCATGATCGAATGCCAGCAGGGGCAGAGATGCACCTGTACGTGTGAGGGTCAGGGTTATTGGTCCACCACAGTTATGGCTTGGGTGCCT